TTAGTTGGTGTTGAATTTGATTTTCGTTTGATTGATGTAATGATCCTGAAACTGATGATATGAATAGAGGCGAGTTCCCGTTCCAAAAAAAATATTATGGCATTTTGTGTGGTTATTAGTGCATTATAAGAAGTAATAATTTACCTGTGTTTTGTAATAATTTGAACCAAGTCTTTTTTGGGAAATAAACATTATTTTGGGATGAGCGAAAAAGGAAAGTTGAAAGATTAAAAAGGAAAGTTGTAACATTTTCCCGCATGCCTGATTGCATGATAAACCCTCCCTCTGTATCACTCTATGCTATCTCCAAACCATTGCTCAGATTAATTTGTTATTTTTTTGTTTTTTTTAAAGAAGAAGAAGACTGAGAAAATCATGAACCACGAGCCACGGTTTTCCATTCGATGGTCCAAATTAGAGGATGAGAAGCTTCCATTAAGAATTCCTAAATTTTTAAGAAGAAAGTAAGATGGATCAAAGGAGACACATGACTATCTACATAGAATAATCATTAATGGGATGACACAATATGACAAGATATAAGTTTCGGGTTCAAATCTTGATAACTGTGACAAAATGTTACTATATAAAAATGTATAGGACATCCGCAAGTATTGTGTAAGAACCTCACTCATTATCTATCGATATGTGATTAAAGTCCAATTTCAATCCTTCTAAATTCTAATTAACTATCCGGTCGCTATTAGGAGCTCAAGTTCGCAATTTATACCGTGAGATTGGCCCACCGAGCGTACTATGTGCCGATCCCAAATGGTGTCGCCTTATTGATTGCAAACAAGAGCATCGATCGATCGCAGCCGTTAGAGGACCGACATAGGCATCTCCATCGCCGCAAAAATCAATTTCCCCCCATCTCCTGTGACACTTCAAAAATTTTAAATAAAATAGAATGAATAATTTTAATACGATCAATTGGAAATATTACAAAAGTGACATTTTATACGTGTGATAATAAAGTTTACTAGGTAAATAATAATAATAATAATAATATTTATGCTAAACAAGGAAAACACGTATACAATTAAGGGAGATTGAAATTTCAAACTAAAAATATCACGACTAACCATATATATATACGTAAAAGTAATAATATAATATATATATTTAATAATATTAATACACACGTTTGCATATGGTGAGGACTTCGAATGAACTCTGAGCTGATTGGGCTAATAAGATGAAACCCTAAACATTAGAGACCTAGAATCTTCGACTTATCAGTATAAATAGCAGCCTTGCGATCAACCTACGCTGTACAAAACGTGAGAAAACGAGAGAAAAGAAAGTGAGAAAAAGAGAGAAGAAAAGAAACGTGAGAAAGAGAGGGTGAACGTTTGGAAGAAGAAGAAAGGCCGATCATCTGGAAGCGTTGCCGGAGAAGGAAACTGCCGGAGTGCTGCCGTCCTCTTAAGGAAGCGACTTTGACCGCCGTACCACCTTCCATCGTCAAGGTAAGGCCGTACGTTCATCTCTGTGAAACCTCGTTTTCCATGCGAAGAAGATAACGAGCTAATCCCCTTAGTTCGAAAATAAATAAAATAATGACAACAATAATAGAAAAAGGTGGACATGATGATAATAATAATAATAATAATAATATAATAACAACAATGGATCGGTTACTGTTTATACATATACAGAATTGAATGATTAATGATAAACAATTATTAACCGGTTATTAGAATAAAATAGAATTTGGACTGTTTAGACTACACCGGTTGAATTACTATAAAATAATGGACATTTGGATTATATTAAAGTACACTACGAATATGAAAACTAAAACAGATTATCATAATGGACTACATTTGTTATTATAACTGAACCTTTTATTTTTGAGTCAACTTTATGAAACTAGATTGAACTAATAAAAGTAAACTGAGTTAGGCCGATTGTTTTATCTGTTAAAAGAGAAGTTAATGATGGCGAGGTTGATAATACTCTGATGATATACAATGGACGGATTAAATTAAAATGGAACTTTTACTATTGGACCGATTGAATTATTATAGTAATAGATCGAGCAACTCAATATAAATATAAAATGGTTCGTCGTGATAAAATAAAACAGCTAGGTAGATTATTCGACAGATTATTTGTAATAACCAGGCCAATTAATATGATTAAATACTTGTATCGGATTAAATAAACAGAGGTATACATTGACAGAAGTCACAGAACCAATGGTATACATTAAGTTAATGATTCGATAACAGATTAAATTAGATTAACTATAAATAATAGATTACACCGCTTAATATCATGTTGATAAATAATCAGGAATCGGGTAAAAGTAGTAAAACAGAATAGCCTGGACTGGATTGTATTAACGATCCAATACATTAAAACAAATAAAACTATGGAAAAATAGAATAATTTACTTATTGTTAAATTTTAAATAATAGAAGGACAGTTGGGAGAAGAAGCTGATAGGGAAGCTTGTTAGGAATATCGGGAACCTGAGGTAAGTTTCATTGCAACCAAAATTATACCTTTTTACCTCGTAACTATTTTGAAACTTTTTATGTGATTATGTGTAATCTGTTTAAGTAAATATTATTCTATGAAATTGTATGTACTTGATATATTGAATTATTATTATGGAATTTCGATGTGAGTTATTATTGTATATGATTTTTGGGAGACCTCATACTGGTGAATATTTTGGTGTTGTGATTAAATTGGATTTTGAGAAAATTATATGGAAATTTTAGTGTATTTTTGAAAGATACGAACTTTTGATTGGATTTTGAGAAAAACAAAGGAAAGTGAATATTTTCAATGGTGGGGCACCGCGGGAGAAATCCGTAGGTGTCGGTCCCCTTCACGACCGTTAATGGTGAAGGATTCCTATATGGAATTTTGGGAAGAGATAAAAGACTAAATGATTTTTCATAAATTAAAGGTGGGCATCGCGGGAGAAATCCGTGGTGTCGGTCCCCTTCACGACCGTTAATTGTGAAGGAGTGATTAGGGATGCTACTATTTGCTTGGTGGGTTCGGTAACCAATCCGAACAATTTAAATAAATGATTTGGTACGTTCGGTAGAAAAATCCCGAATGATAGATATATATTTGGTGAATTTTGGCAATAGTAGCGGTACGTAGTCGCTTAGAATTAAATTTTGGGTGAAGTGGTCGGTAGAAAACATCCCGACTACTTTGGGCTTCTTACTACCCGGAGGGCTTGGAATCCCTTTCAGGGGGTGTGCACACTTAAGGTAGAGGTTCAGATTCTATATGGGTAAGATGTGGTACCGGTAAAAAGTCCGGGGTGGCCGTACATAACAACGAACCACCGGGCTCAATAAGAGCTTGAGCACCGCCCTTCTAAATTACTAGGATGTTTAGTGAAAAGAATTTTGAGAAACTCAAAGAGAACATTTTGGTGTACTTGTTTGAAAAGCTTTACTTTGGTAACATGGTACATGAGAATCACACCTTTTGATGGATAATGGTATTTGTGGAAATTATTGTGATTTGGAAATGTGTGTCTATATTTGAAATATTATTATTTTAATTACTTGTGAATTGTGTGATTTAAAAGTGTATAAATATTGTTTTATTACTTATGAGTGGTATAAAATGTTTTGAAAGGTTTTCTCCAAAACGTTTTCCAAAAATTATATATATGTACCAATGCAAACATGATTATTTTACGGGGTTGGGTGGGACTTACTTAGCATTTCCGGCTAATTTTTGTTTCTTTGTTTTCTTTTCTCCCCTTTATTTACAGATGATTATGCTTTGGGTGATGATATGCTCGCTTGAGTTCTTGAGGGCACTATTTAGAGACATCTTCATTAATAAGACTTTACTTTATATAGAGGACATCTTTACTTTTTAATTTCCCTCACTTTAGAATATTTAGACAAGTATTTTTGGTTAGCCTGTGCACTTAGCTATGGATATGCTAAGTGTGGCGGTAACACGCTCAATTTCCTTTTTGTCATTCCGCTGCAACATTTTAAGTATTTCTAAATAAAGTTCATCATTTTCATTTGGATAAATTCTTATTTCAATATTTATTTTGGGTGGGAAATTGGGGGTGTTACATCTCCGGTCACCGACGGGCGGCAGTACAAGTATGCTATCTTCTTCTTTCTTCTCCTTCTCGTCGTCCACTTCCTCTTGCTTCTCCTTTCTTCTTTCTCTATTAATGAACGAATGAAATTTAGAAATTTCAACCTCTCAAGGAAGGGAGGAGATGGAGGAATTTGTTGTTCTAGGAAGATTTATGCATAACCCTTTTAAAATTGAAAGCAAATTCTTTTGATTTGATTTAGCATATAGAGGGCCGCGTATTATTCAAATTCAGATTAAACTGAATTTTTCCATTTTCCGGAGGTTGATTTCACAAGTTACATCTACTTGTTTCCAAGTTACATTTGAAGCAGCTAAAGTTACATTTCGGAAGTTACATCTGACTTGTTCCCAATTTACATTTAGTTTACATTTCAGTTAGTTACATTTGAATGAATGTAATTTACATTTTGATTAACCTGAAGTTATATGTTGATTCACACAATTTACATTTTATATAACTGTGGGAGCAGGTTGCTTATCATGCACCGCTACCCCGTCTACGAGAAATTAGGCACGAGTTACTAAAAATATTAAATCTATCAAAAGCTACTCCATACCAAATTAGTCAGTCACTATTGTCTCCCACTTTGTAGAAGTAGAAAAAAGGATGACACAACATCCCTGAAGGGCGGCTCCCTAACACCAATCAGTTGACACGATGGAGGATGTAAATTAGACTATAATCACAATCTGACAGATAGAGAGTGGGGCTATGTCCCCATTACTTGTAGAGACCTTATGCATTTTTAGCATAGTAACCTCTCATCGCAGTTGACAGGATTCGAACACGGGACCCAATTCTTGTGACACTCTCTCACTACTAATTAAGCTACGCCCATAGGTCACTTTGTAGAAGTAGAGAATAGTAATGTGAACAAGATGTGCCATATCGTTTCTCTTACGCTTGGTTTGGAAGAAAATCGATTGAACATTATGCTACTCTAGCTATAAAAAACATGCTTTGTACACTTCATGAAATTTAAACATCCTCTGTCCGAGATTTAGAAGAAAAAGAGGCGACAGAGATTCATGGCGGCCTGCATTTCAGCGTTCAGTCCGTCCATTGATGAAGGAAGATGGGTGAGCCAAGGAAGCAGAGCCTTAGCGTCAGAGCTCATCTTAGAAATGGAAGACTTCTCTCCAACAATAATCTTTCAAGTCCCAAAGTCCTTGAGTGAAACCAACCCAGAAGCCTACACCCCTCTGCTACTCGGCATGGGACCGTACCATCATCTCCGGCCCGACCTCCACGCCGCAGACCGGCAAAAGCTTGTCACCCTCAACAAATTTCTCGCAAAAAACCCAACCAAAGACTTCTCCAAACACTTCCTCCAAAAGATGAGGGATTTGGGGCCGCTGGTTCGGGCCAGCTACGACCGGTACTTGGATCTGGAATGCTCCACCCTGGACTACATCCTTGCCGTTGATTCTTTCTATCTGCTCGGTTTTCTTGGTTTGTACGGCCCAGAAACTCACACGGCAGATTTTGAACCCGGTCGCCAGGAGCTTGCCATGGATATCTTAAAGTTGGAGAACCAAATCCCGGCATTTGCGGTAAAAGAGATGGGGAAAGAGTTAGGTTTGTTTTCAGCTGAAGAAGAAGGTATGTATGATAAACAAAGACATCCGTTTATGTGGCACATACACTCTCATCTCTGCAAAAAGGCACAAAAAATGATATACTTCCTCCATTCTTAAATAAATGTAACAGTCAATATTTCACACTTGTCGAGGCACAACTTTGACCATTAATATATATAATTCTCAAATTTTAAAAAATCAGTTTTTGAAAATTTACAATGAGACAAATTTAATAATATATTTTTCAAAAATATTTAGTAATATATCAATAAATAAAATTTAGTCAAAGTAGAACATGTGAATAGTGTAAAATTTCACACGTTGCACTTATTTAAGAACGGAGGTAGTATGTGCACATACAATTTTTTAGGTGGTCTAACTTCAAAAACAATTTTATAAGACAACACAAATAATAGCTTTTTTAGGGGACGTTTCAACTTTGATTTGTTTCCAATGACTTGATTATAGGTTTTCAGTTTTATTTTCTATATATAAACAAAATTTATCAACTTTTAGAAAGTCGCACACGATTTTTATATACTTGTACTATCTAATTAGTAGTCCCTCCGTCGCTTAAAACTTTGTCATGTTTCCTTTTTTGGGACATCCCAAAAAACTTCGTCACTTTCCCTTTTAATCAATATTTTGTGGTTTCTGTTATTTCTCTTTCCTATACACAAACCTCACTTATACAGTTTTTACTTTATTATTCTCCGTGCCGGTCAACTTTGACAAAGTTGTAAGGGACGAAGGTAGTATGTATTATACGGCACTACGGTAGACAATAATTCCAATGGTTGTTGTTCGATCCCGATTTGGTTTTCCAACGACCATGCATCTCGGGTGAGTCTAAAACTGAAAGATGAAAAAATGATAGAAGATGAAAATGATAAAGATGAGAAATGGTGAAGGGGATTAAAGATGGCATAAGATGATGAAAATGGAAGGTGAGAATAAATAAATGTGATGAAGATAATGAAAATGAAAGAAAAAGGAAAAAGAGAATGAGGCAGGGGAACCATAGGAGACAAGGAGGGAGGGAGGTGGTATTTTTTTGGATATATAGGGTGGGTATAAGGGTGTGTATAAAACAGCAACATTGTAGCATCTTATACAAGATAATTAAGAGATATCTACCTGTCAAGAATCTGGTAATGAATGAAGTCAGAAGGTTAAGGGACTTATTCTAGTTCTAACATCTATCATGGGTTTAGGTATTAGTGTATTACTAAATTTCGATCCATCCGTATATGTTATACAATTATATAATTATATAATGCCGATCAACGAATTTAATCTTATAATTAGTATCAGAGTCCGGTTAGTTTGATATCATAAGAATAATTTCAATTAAGTGGCAGATCTATTTTTATTTTAGTTTACTCCTCTGTCGTGATCGATTTTTATTTTATTCCTTTGTCATGATCGATTTTTTCTTACATCAGTCGAGATCGATTAAGTAATACAATTATATTTATTGTCGGTGATCGATTTGTTGGATCTTCCTTCGGTAAATTATTGTATCACTGTTTTTGCGTTTATTCTTTTTCCTATTCATGAGACATTGGCGATACATGTAATATACGATAGTATATAGAGATGGAGGAGAGAATTTGGGAACCCTAGTCCGAGACATATTGAAACACATGTTCAATCTATCATTAAACCAATTAAAGGTTTAGGACTATGTGAATACTATTAATAATATAATACTCCAATTACATGACCAATATTAGAATATTAACTAATTAACTAAATATTCTAACATTGTCCTCTAACATATAGAGCCCGTTTGGAGAACTCTGTTTTCGGCTTATCAGGCTTATCAGCCAGCTTTTTCACCAAACACGTAACTTTTACTTTCGCGCGCTGAATTGTGTAATAAGCCGAAAAAGTAAGGTTGGAGTTACTTTTCTGGCTGTATTGGCTGAAGTTACTGTAGAGGACCATTTTAGCTATTTTTACATATAAGTTTTTCTTTAATTTATTAATAAAATATATTTTTAAATTTTTTTTTCTTAAATCAGCAGAATCAGCCAAAACAGCCACTCCAGCCAGAATATCATAAATTTCAGCAGAATCAGCCAAAACAGCCGATTTTGGTGTTACCAAACGGGCTCATAGTTTGATTAAGAGATAATTCAATTTTTAACACAAAGTTTTCATTTACAAAAAATGAACTCCAGTAAATTTGAAATTATAAAAATATATTTTTAATAAGCTGCAACAAGAGTAATATTTCCCAAGTGATTATGGTAACCATAGTGATGTTCAACTCCGCAGATGCTCCATGAGTTCTGTTTTAATAATGTAACTGAAATAAAATATATTTCAAATACTATTATAATGAGATAACAATAAGTGAATAGAGAATCATTATAACTATAATAATAATAATTATTATTATGATATCATCATTATTATTAGGTATTGGAGAAAAGATGTTGTATTCACAACTCTTTTACTATATCTGCAAAGCTCACTCTCCTCTCAAACTTGTGGAGGTTTTGAGGTATTGCCGCCATGAGAGCAGTCACCTGTTGGCACATATGTATTATCTGGTCGTAAACAATACTTTCCATCCTATTCCGCGGTTTAGATCAAGAATAAGAGAGGTAGGAACAGAGGCATTAACAACTTTAGGTGAATTGGGACTTGGAGGAGAAGCATCCATATGGATTAAGCCCATCCTATTAGCATTGAGTTTAGTACAAGTTGTGGAGAACAGCATGTTAGCTGATGAGATTACTAAGATCAAACTATCAAAACCACCAAAGAAGAGTCATCAAATTCCTTCGGTATCAGAGTTGTCCAAGACATACAATATTGGTTTCGAGCTGCTGGAAAGGAAAGGGATTAGAGATATCAGATTTGACCTCGAGGACATAAGACCGGTTTATCTCCCTGAGATCACTTTAAAATGTGATTCAGAAGTAGTTTTAAGAAACTTGGTGGCATATGAATCTTCCATTGCAACCCAAGACTCAGCCTTTGAGCTTGCTGGATATATTGACCTGATGAGCAGCATACTGCAGACATCAGATGATGTGGAAATGCTTCGGGAGAGTGGGATCATCAAGGGAAGACTGGATGACGGAGAAGTTGTTGAAATCTTCAATGGTATCGGAAAATCTGTGGGGAACTTGAAGCCTAAGGAGGAGTGTGCAAGCAGGAAGGTGGTGAAACAGGTGAAGGAGATGGTGGAGGAATGGGAGAAGAGGAATGTGTGGAAGAGGTTGTGGAAGTGTGTGGAGAAGAAGGTTAAGAATGGTGTGGAGTTGACGAGGAAGCCTGTGGGGATTGGTCTGAAGGGTCTGCTGTATCTGTTTATGGCTATGCTACTTGTGCTGCAGATTATGCAAGCATATTGCCAGGTTTATGGATGCAACAAAGGGGGTTCTGAGGCTAAGGCTATGAGTTTCACTATGTGAGGGGAGCGTTTGGTTAGATATTATGGCATTTTATGTGGTTACTATTTTTGAGTTTTTCTGTGTTTGTAATGTTTTGAGTTTTCTGTCTTCGATGGCTTAAAAGTAGTACGAGGGCTACGTATGAACTTTGATCCCTTTGTTCTAGTTGAACATAAGTTCTCTAAAATTAAATTCTAATAAGGTATACAAGTATGAAAGAGTAGATAAAACTTATCAAAAGGGGAACATGTAGCAAACTTTTAAATACATACGGGGTATAAAGAAGGAGAGGGTAGTAAACGTTAGTTAAGCTCAAGTCAAAATTTGCAATCCCCAATTGATAGAAAGAGTAATTTTTTACTCAACCTAGGTTCAATTAAGCTCATCATGTTAACAGTTAACTTCAGTTTGTTCTATCCTAATTAAACTGAAGTTGGAGTCTCTTCATTAAGTGTCATTTTTGTTTAGTAAAAGGTATTTTCCCCAAAGTAAAACATTGTAAGAGTGTCAATAAGTATGAACTATGAGTACATGTTTTGATTTACAAAAATAGTAGTTACAATTATATTTCCCTTGTCCATTGTTTTATACGGAGTATTAGAGTTTACCTATCCCTCTGGGGCCTGGGCTAGGTTGATCAATCCTTCTTAGGATTTAAGGTTGAATGAATGACAAGAATGATAGTAGTATAGTACACACTTTTAAGTGGACAAAAATAGAACTAACTTTTAAAGTGAACAAAAAAGAGACTAAACATTAATAAATGGATTGTAATGCCCTTAATAAAACTAACCTTACTCGTCCAATTCATCGGCAGGCCCGTGGATAGGGATGGACTCGGGCCGGGCCAACCGGCCCGGAACCGGACCGGCCCGCTACTGTGCGGGCCCGGACCGGCCCGGTGAACCGGTTAGTGCCCGGTTCGGGCCACCCGGCCCGGTGGGCTTCGGTTCCGGGCTCGGGCCCTCCATTTGGTGAACCGGCCCGGCCGATTTTTTTTTTTTTCTGATTTTTTTTTTTTTAGTTTTTGGGTTGGGCTGGGTGTTTTGGGCCATTTGAGGTGGTTTGGGGGTGAGGGGGGTGGGTTGGGGGTTAAATAGGAGAAGCCAAAAAAAAATCACAAACCGGGTGGCCCGGCCCGGAACCGTTGGCTACCGGTTCGGGCTCGGGCCCAACAAAACAGAACCACGAACCGGCCGGGCCCGAACCGGTCCACCCCTGCCCGTGGAGCCTTTGAAGCCGCTGAGAGTCTGAGACCTTTGCCTCAGGCCCCAAAAAAATCAAGGCCTCATTTTACTAGCTAGTGTTATGTATTACTACGTACTATGGTTTGGAGTACTCTGTATTATTTAGTAGGGTCAATTCGTTTTTAGAATATCTCAACTCAATTGTACGTAGTAAATGAATTGAAAAGTCAAGCCTTATCTATAGGAAAACTGACGGTTATCACAAGCCACAAAGGCCACAAAGTACATTTCCCAATTCCCAAGACATCATAATAAGTACTACGTGTATTCCAATTACTACTTATCAATTTAAGATTTTAAGGGTTTTCTACTTCATTTTTAAAGCAGAAGTAGAATCATAATCAGTTTGTCCATTGCCTATTTTTAGTAATATTGATGACAAAACCCCTTTAGGTTTCTAGGTTTATCAACCCATTTAGAGTCTAGTGGTGGGTCCGTCGGAACATGTAGTAGCCGGAAACATTTTGGTAGCGACTAGAGACCTGGTCAGCATCCAAAAGAAGAAGCAATTTTAGCGAGTGTTTTTAGCGAGTGTCTGGTGACTTTTTGAAGGTGGAGGCTGAAGACGACCACCGAAGGTTCGATGACTTTCCGGCGGCTACCACCGAAGGTTTGATGACTTTCCGGCGGCGACCAATAACTTAGGATGACCAGCATGGGTGATTATAAACTAAGCGCCAGCCCGAAAGTTGTTGCTTTCCGGAGATATGTGTTGTACAACAAAATAGTGTCATTGTCAACTCCTCTCTTGTTAGTCGTACCAAACTTAGAACTCCTATTTTTGTATGTTTGCACTATTTTACTCATGTTTTGGGAATTAAATCTAAAAATATGAAGTTGTACGGAGAGATGCGACTTGTGAGTTCACTTGAAAATGTACCTACCACGGTACCACCCTAATTTTAATTGTGTTCGTAATGCCCTTCTTATTTTTGTTATGACACAATTATACATGCCTGATCAAATATATTAATAATGGTCGGTGTAATCTTGTTTTAAGAATTCAGTTGGAACCTCCTTCTGCACAAAGAATAAATACCGGCTTTTGATAGCTCAATTTCATAGCAAAACCCAAATGAATTTGCATTGTTGTTATGACGTTGGGCGTTTTTATGACGTTGATATGTTCAAATATTTACGAAGTTTGCTATCATTAACAACTTTCGCAGAGGCCGATCATGCCATGTTTGGATCGTATTGAAGAAACCATCAACCACAATTCCACAAAAGAACCGTATGATTTGGAACGTCCTGTGTTATCAGTTTGAAGCTCTCATACTGTCATACATAGTTGTGGAGAGTCAATCCCCAGCATTTGCTCCAGTAGATATGGGAATAAACTGTGTGTCTTTCTTTCCTGCCAGAGGTAAGCAGGATAACATGTTATACCCCCATTGCTTCAGCAACAAGGCGTAAGGGTATGTTTGCAAACAATTAAAAAAAAACAATTTGCTTAGAAAAGCTGAAGTGTGTTTTCATGTGACAATTTATGCTTAAATCAAACACTTCAAAGCTAAAAAAACTGAAATATGCTTTTTACTTTTCTTACTACACAAAAAGAACACATTTTACCAAAAACTATCAACCTTTACTTTTCAAAATCAAATTTTCTCAAACACCACAAACTTTTACTATTAAGCACTTTCTCCAAAATCACTTTAATAAGTCACTTTATTAGCAGAAGCAATTGCAAACACTTCCCAAGCTTTTACCTTAATGAATTCTGCTTATTACTACTCTTGTTGTCTTTAACCTGATGTTTTCAGAAAAAATGAATCCTCTGATTGTCATACAGATTAGATTATCAAGAACACTGGCCAATTTTCCAAGGATCAGCATACATTATGTCATTTCACTTTAACAAAGACTAGGGGGAACACAAACATACCACATTTAATCATGCAGAGCAAAACAATCAAAACCTTCACTCATATATATCCAGTATAAAACTATGCGAACCAGGCTATTCCATTGAGACACTCATGAACAGTAAATAGTTTTAATATATTTTTAAGAATTAGTACTTTAGTAGGTGTGGCATTTGATAGGATTTCTATTTAACCAACAAAACTAAAGCTAGTAACTTCGGGTCTCATCATCATCATTTTCATTTACCCCGTGCCGCAAAGGCTCCCACCTACGGTGGGGTAAGGGGGGTCGGATGTATGCAATCTTACCCTGTACTAAAGCACAAAGAGACTGTTTCCGGATAACCCATAATGAAAATCGCGACCAAAATTTCATGAACTGAATGCTGCTTCATAACAAAGAATCTTTGTTATGAATCTTTATTGAGCCATTTTGCTTTATTCACTCATATTCTCAAGCCAAAAAATAATGAATCTTTGGCTCCATGATATATTCTCTCATGGATATATTTTTGTGTTTTGAATCTTATTATCAGTAAGCTTCCTTGTACAGGCAGTGTGTTTTCTTTTCTTACCTTTGCTTGATGATGTAACTGTTTTCTTCTTCATCCATCCAGACATCCAGATGTATTGTAAGTTCCAAAAGACAGAAGCCCATGGGAGAATATGTAGCAACAACCTACTGCAAATGAATAAATACATAATACATGTTCATGGAAGACATTTCAGTGTTTACTCCCATAGTTTTTACAAGCAAAGGCTGGTAAACGATTTAGTTCCCACAACCAGAGCATTTGGACTAATTGAACCATAGTTTGGCCTTTTGAGTATCATTTTTGAAGTTGGGCAATAACTTGAATAAGATTTCCTCCCATTCGGCATGTAAATGAAACGATAATAGGAGAATAGTTTGTACAAAAATGTTTTACTTCAAAAGTTTGAATCAAATAAGTTCACCAGCTCTCATAGTACTTCCTTCTCCCACCCTAGCAAACCACGCTGATACAAACAGAAAACTCCATCGCCAGTAACTATTCCTAATTCGGATCTTTGCCGCGGAGCCTGAAGATTATCCGTCCTTGGCTCGAATCGTATCGACTAACTTCAACCCTTACTCTGTCTCCAGGCAATAAACGGATGAAATTCTTCCGGATTTTGCCGGAAATGTAACCGATAATCACGTCCTCGTTTTCTAATCGGATCCTGAACTTGCCATTGGAAAGCGACTCCAGTATCGACCCCTCAAGCGTCGACTTCTGCTCCGCGGCCGCCGTACACCGGACACTCTTACCGTTGTCCTTCTTGCTCGACAAATGGCGCTGAGAGTTCACAGATCTCCCGTGGGCTTTAGCTATGAGCTTCTCGTAGTCCTTCCCGCGGAAACTCAAACAGTTTGTTGCGGCCTTCCCAGGCGGCGGAAGTAGACAAAATGTCTTAAACGCGGTGGAGGGGGTTGCCAGCCACCATGAAAGAGAGGTCATCACTGCTCAGCTTGGCGGATAAGGTGGATACTGCAGATAATCACGCGCCCCACTGCAAAACTCTGGACTTGTAAAACTTCCAAGCAGCCATTTCACACTCCTTTTTTCAGAGAAAAGGATGGACACCCCATCTCCTTTTTTCAGGATGTGGGCTTGAGCTTTCCTTTTGGTCCTTACCCTTAAAATGTACAATGCCCAATATTCCAATTTATAAGAAGGCCCAATTATTTAAATTGGTATAATAATAATAACATAATTTTGCTAGCTTACTTATTGATTTCTGTTTTGTCGTACTTGGCTTGGTGTTTTTAGGAGTTGATTTTTGGGAGAGGGAAAGACATGTGAGGGTTGACCACTCTCCTGTTTGTGTTTGAGAGTTTAAAATAGATGTGGGTGAATGGTTTTGGACGTTTTTGTGACTCTCCAAAAACCCCCAAATGATTAATTATTAAGTTCCTCCAAAACTAGGGGTTCTGAAGGATACAACAACAACAACATTCAAGCCTTAGTCTCAAACGATATTGGGGTCGGCTAACATGAATCGATACTT